ACTTAAGTTTAGCCATGCTTGGCTAAACAAATCTTGGTTGACTTTTGTTGAATCCTTTGAACTTTTGTTGAATATAGAAGAATCCATGAACTTGTTCTTAAATATTTATGGAAATGTTTGTGTTCTACATTTATCACTATTTGTATGTTTTAGTTCATGAGTTCAAATGTGTTTGTGGTGATTAATTAGCTAATTTCTTGATTAAGTAAAGGATCCTCAAATTAGCAAGCAACAAATAATTTTTGTGTTATTTTTTCTTCACATAATCATAAAAACATTTCCTCCAACATGGTGGTGAAAGCAGTTGATCCCTCTTGGATTTGGTGACTTTTTGGTTCTTAATGCTAGTTGACTTTTACTAATTACATGCTTAATGGAAATTGTGACTTTGACTAAGGAGATTGTTATGAGCTTCTCTAAACATTTTAACAACTAAGAAAAGTCTAGGTAATCTCAAGCTTCTTGGATTACTATAGCCAAATTAAGGATTTAAATCAAGTATTACACCATTGGATTCTAATGATATGTTCATCAAAAGTCAAAGTGAGGAAACCTTAAGTCAACCATCATTCTCTTATTGATTTTACATCAAAATCTTATTTTTATTGAAATTGTTTATTTAAATCTTAGTTTAATTCTAGTTTATTTTAAGTATTTCAAAAGACCAAACTCCCCATATTTAATTTATTGTCGTTTTCAAGTATTTCTAGAAATAGATTTTCATAGAGTTATAAAATTGAACCAATCTTTGTGGATTCGATCCCTTTACAACTATACACTATTTTAGTGTGTAATATTTAGGGTTATTATTTTTGTTGGCATCGACAACCAGCAGGAATCGAGGCTATGTCTGGTTCCAGTTCTGTTCAGTAATTAGAAGAGTGGGTAAAAATTTTCATTTGCTTTCAATATACCATGTGATTGTGTCTGCAGTTGCATATTAGGTGTTTGGGGAAATGCCTAACTAAAGCTATGCTTCATAATGACCCTTATATTCATTTTAAACATTATGAAACTTTTTGGTTGAAATGTTATTTAACTTGATTATTTATCAGGTTTAAATGCTCTGGGGGATGCTTTTTAAATCAATGTAAGTATCATAATTACTCAATTATTTATTTTTTCTATGTTATGTTTGAGTATATAAGAATATAGTGACATTTAGTAGGTGCAAGCATTTCATCAAAGAAAGAGAGTAAAGTGGGATGTTGTAAATATAATGAATAAATACTTGCTTTTCTTATGTGTATTCATACGCAAGTTTGATGTGTGTGTATGTGCGTGTGACAGAGCAAGTAATTCACTCATGGTTGCGCTTCAGGCTCAGAAAGTCATTTATGATTCTTCAGAAACATAGTCTCACAAGAAATTTAATGGTAACTGTAATAGGAATCTTTAATTGATTTTACACACTGTCTCGGATGCACCTTCATTATTGAAGCGACCTAAAATTCGTGAGTTGCTTATTGTTAATCTTAGGATTTGAAACTGTTAGTGTTACAAATTATCTAAAGAAACTGAAGAATCAAAATATCTATTTGTTTGCAAGATAGAAGCCTATTCATTGCATTTCCGAGGTTTGTTTGACATGTAAGCAAAGTACCCCTTGAATGCTTTCGTGGTGAAATATTTTTTGACCCAAGTTTTTTTTTAATAAAATTCCTTAATGGGTGTTCAGATGCTTTTTTTTTGGATTTTGATACATTGTTTCGATTCTAAGGGGTACTTTGGTCATATTGAAAAAATGATGCAAGAAAACACCAATAGAAAGGTTCATAGTTTTCACAGTAAATGTCAATTTATTCCTTTTAAAATTCGCAGTATAATTTTCTTATAAAAATTTTCAAATGACAGTGTAATTTTCAACCATTGCATACAATTTGAGTGTTGGTATGTGTATATTGGTCTGCCAAATTTGACACCACCTATGATAAAATATAAATCCCATTACAGATTTTGCAATTGTATTCAAATAAGTGGGCCTTTTTAAATTCTTTTGTGTTTCGTTAATAAAAAAAATTAATAACCCATGCAGAGCATGGGTCTCCTAGTTACTAGTAAAAATAGTTTTTTATTACATTATATTTTATATTCTTATTAAACATGTTAGTAACAATAATTTATATCGATGGTTTAATTATATATTCATCTTCAAAGAAAAAATAACACATTAGTATAACTATTTTACGGTCACTGTGTAAGTGGTTGTAAGTAATAAGACGTGTGTATAGTGATGTGTTTTTCATATAAAGCACTCAATGTTACTTATAGTCACTGTTTATAAATATTATCATAGTCATTGTTGATTTTTGGAGACAAAATTGTACTTAATTTACCAGCATAAGTTATCATTACCAACATGTTTAATAGTTTCTAGTTCGTTTAATAAACGTTCATTACCTTGTGAGTGAGTAAATGTTCATAATATGAAAGATATAATATTAAACGTCGCTAAATGTTATCAATGATCATAATAAAAGTAATAACACGTGAGTATAGATCATTTTGGGTGACGATTTAAATTTTATTTATCGGTGTATGTAAGAATTATAATGATAAACCACTAAACATGTTAGTTAAGATAACTTATGTTGATAGCTTACTTACATTTATATCTCTAAAAGTCAACAACTTTCACAATAATATTTATATATGGTGACTATCAGTTAACATTTATCACTCTATTAGAAAAGAATGCATCATTATAAGTGTATTATTAATAACGGTTATCAAAATAAAATATGTACATGTCCAAAACCACCCTACCATATAATGACAAGTTTCAACTATAACAATGAGTTTTCACATGTTATATTCATCAATCATCACAATTAAACTTCATCATAACTTATCATTAATTACACGACCATTCATTACGCGTTGAATGAAAAAAAAACCGACTTAATATGTCTATAATAAGGAGTTTTTTATGTGTATAACTCACTTTTGTACTAGTGTTGAGAAGAGATTTGTTCCTCTTATGTGTTGAGAGCTAGATGTCTAAGGCGCTTTAGTTTAAGTTGGACGGCAAATGAGTGTGCTTTTATCCATTTCTCAATATCGAACATGATGTCTAAACAAAGGGAATAGTGATAAACTTACCTAAAACATCAATTGTAGCTTTAAGCTCATGGAATTGGTTGTTGATAAAATGACACCTCTTTGTACGTTGTTAGGGGCAGTAGATAATTACTAGATGCCCTATACTATTTATGTGAATGAATAATGATCTTATGCGAGTGAGTGATTATTAGAACTATATGCTCAAGAGTCATTATTGAATAATATTTTCTAATAATATATGATCATACATGTTCATACCTTAATCAAGTTGATATATATTGAATATTTCTCATTAATATGATTATTAATAAATATATTCAACTCTTGTAATTTAATTTGGAGAAAGTTTTATTTTGTGAAAATAATATTAAGAATTATTATTTTATGAAAATAATATTTAGAGAGTATAAAATAGCTATTTAATTACATGATATGATTAAATAAGTTATGTATTTTGGGCACTTAAAAGTCCACTAGCCAAAGCTAGTACATGTATAGAACAATGATGGAGTGAAAGCTACCCTTCCTCTCTCTTTCTTGCATAGCTATAGCCACACCCATGCAAGGCATGTTTATGCTCGCTTGTTTGTCTTCTCTTACACATGAAAAGCCTTTTACTTGTCACACCTTAGCATTAAATGGGAGTATGGGCTATAGGATTTGTATATGTGTAAATAAATAAGATAAAGGCTTCCATTAGTTGGTTGCTCCTTTCTTTTGCATAGCAAAACTATAGGTTCTCTTTCTCTCGCTCTCTTGCTTTCTTTTGAAGACTAGTTGCAAGTGTTTGTACTTAGAAGAGATTTATCATTTATTGTTTAAATCTGTTAAACACTTAAAGGCTTAAGAGGTTACTTATACAAGAAGGGAGCTAGCAATCAGTTGTGCATTAATTTTGATGGTGGATACTTAGAGAGAAGATCAAACTTGTTGTTTTTTGTTATCTTCATCAACTCCTCAAAACCAAGTGAGATCAATGTCTTCAAAATTTTGTCTTTTTAACATCATATTTGTTATAATCTTTCTAGTTAATGTAATTTGATTCTCTTTGTGGTTCTGTTAAAATAGTCTAAAAATAAAATAGTTATTTTTAAATGCTTCCATTTTTCGTATAAAATTATTTTATTAAAAAAAATATTTTTAGCTTCCTAAAACACTTCAAGTTTGAGACACATAATCGAATTGATTAAATTCGGTGTCGAATTGGATTTGTGGTTATGCGTGTGGTTGTGGGTGTTGAGGTGGATGTAGTTGTTGATGATACGACGACATACTACCATAATGGTAAACGGGACAAAATAAATTGGTCGATCAAAATAAGTGTTAAGGTGTTTCTTGTCTGTGTTTTTTGGTTATATGGATTGTCGGAAGAAAACATTTTCTTTAAATATTGAGAGATAAAACATAAGGAGATTAAAAAAAAGTGCTTTGAAGTGTGGTAAACTTTGGATGTTGAAGTTTAATTCTAGTTAAAAAATAATTGAAATGAAATAAACCGAAACAAACATGAGAGAGAGAGAGAGAGAGAGAGAGAGAGAGAGAGAGAGAGAGAGAGAGAGAGAGAGAGAGAGAGAGAGGACCTAACCGAGCTCGGCTCGAACCACACACACGGCACAATGCAGACCGCAGGTGAGATGGTGCAGACCCATAGCCACACCCTTCGGTCTAAGTCGAACACCAAAATCTAGTGTATGCTTAATTTATCCTATGACAGATTAACAGGTGGCCAAACTAAATTGAACTCCAAAATAGGAAATACATTATAACATGTATTACCATAATAAAATCATACATTATATTTGGATCAAGTAATATAATTTATAGATAGATTCTTAACATTTAATATTGGTTTACAATAGCTTAGGAGAGAAGAATATCTTACATTGGAAGTGTAAACAGAATAAACCACCAACATACGAACAAAAGAAAATGACAAATTAAACGCCGGCTTTTAATCCGTCTTCAAAGATAGCAACAAAAGCATCCATCTCAGAAGCAGAAAGGGAAACGCCAATCTCTAGATCTTCATTTGATTCTTTGCAGGCGCTAATCGATATTGACCCATTGTAATCGATCGAAATGGTTTCATGCTTTTTTGGTTTACCCCATCCGAAATCCAAATCATAAAATTTTAGCTTTGGTGTTCCAGCAACCCCCATCATTGTTGATGGCATCCCCTCCGAGAACAAATCATCGAACGACCCTATATCTTTCACGACTCCATCCTTATCAGTCAAGGTCTTATGTAAACTTTCTCCAAGCAATTTAGCAGCAGTCACGAATCCATCCTTTCCCGTTAAAACTGTAGTTTTTGCTATGGTTATACAACCCCAAACACAGTTCCCGAAGTAAGACTGTGGGACTGGTGGATGCATGCGTGCCCTACAATCGATAGCGAAGCCAAATAGTTCTAGCTCATCGTTGCGTGACTTTGCTATGCAACTCCATGTATAAGCACATGCAACTGTAAAAGATGATGCATATACTAATGTTGGCAGTTGGGTTAAGACCATTTTCTTCAACCGGTTGATATCAGTTCGTGTCAAAACGAAAGTGGCACGAGATTTATCAATAGGTCCAGAAAGGGTAGGAGGTTGATACCCTTCGATAAGAGTTTCAACCTTTGAACGCTTTAGAAAACTTTCATCTAGTTTTGGGTAGTTGACTACTCTATCATAAAACGGCAAAGTTCCATTAGCTAGGAATGACTTATCTGTTCCAGAACATGCAATCGAAGTCCACGCCTTCAAGAAACAAAACCTAGTGCTAGCATCACCAAGGCTATGGTGGTTGGTCATACCAATAGAGATACCATGATATGGAAAAAACGTTACTTGAACTGAGAAGATGGGGATCTTTATGTAATCAGATACTTTAACACCCTTCCCCAGTAGAGGGATAAGGTGATAAAACTTGTCACAGTCTCGAGGATGGTTTCCTGTAAGATCGTTAAAATCAAGGTTAGATTCTTGGAATGTAACATCGACAGAATCACCTTCAACATAACGAATTTCTGGTTTTTTATCAGGAGATGGAAATACGATCAAGTTACCAACGAAAGGAAAAAAATGTTGAAGGGTGATTGATAACGAGTTTTTAAGTTTGGGAACGATGGTCTCAGTGAAGTGAGGTTTTGTAGTTGGGAGGTCATAGAAGAAAAGATGGTGAACCGGAGGGGAGGCGAGCCACAAGATGTCGAAAAAAGTCAGAGTCAGAGACCTGTCGCTTAGGGTGTCCGGTGGTGGCGATACTTGGGATTGTTCAAGAAGAGTGTAGATGGGATGGGAAGCCATGTGATGCAACACCCTTCAATTGCCTGGATTGTATCCCATAACAAGACAAGTTATAGCCTTATAGGGTCTCCGTGGGAGAGTTTGCATGACATTTATCATCCTCATGGATTTTAGTTCACCTTGGATGTGCCGCTTTATTTTATGGTCGTTGTTTTCTTTGTTTTTAGCGAGTATATATATATATATATATATATATATATATATATATATATATATATATATATATATATATATATATATATATATATATATATATATATATAACTTAATCATTATTCTTAACAATTGACTCATAACAAATATGAAGAATGATTTTTAATATTATTATTATTATTATTATGTTGAACTCTATTGTTAGAGAACTTGAAATTGTTACCTGTATACAAAGTTATATAGTTAAAAAAGAAAAAATTTATAACTTAAAAAAAAAAAAATCAATATTGTTATATATTAAATAATAATTTCATACCACTATTAGAAAATAGTGGATTTTCCTACAAAAAATAGCTATGGAAAAATTTAATAGGTAATTAGATACAAAATAGCTTCGAATCAGTTACAGAATGGGAGACGCTAATATACTAACGGATAGCTATAAAATAGCTACGGATAATTATCTACAGAATATCTACAGAATAGCTAAGATAAGCATCTGTCACCATCATCTTCTTGTCGTCGCCATCACTTGCTTATTGTCGCCATCATTTGCTTGCCGACACATCACTGTTTCAATTAACTTTTTTGTTGCTTTAATTCGACTTACGTTTTCGTTTTGGGTTTGTAACTTGCTTCTGATTATTGCTTTTAGAATAAAACGAGGTTTTTGTAACTTGCTTCTTGATTATTTATTTTGATTTAGGGTTTATTTTTCTTTTGGTTTCAATTTAATAAAATGGTTTATGTGATTTCGAAACTTTTTTGAAAGTAGATTGTCAAAATTGTTATAAGATGATTAATGTCAAATGGTATTCACAATCTAAGCAACAATTTTTCTTAAAAACAGGTTTGGCCATGAAAAAATATGAATCTATTTGTTGTAATAATGAAAATTTAATATGAACAATATGTTTTAGGATTTAGAGAATGTATAGAAACAATTTTTTTTTTTTAGGATTTAAAAGTTATTAGGCGGATATAAACAACATTTGGTCACTTTGTTTACGAGATATAAGCAACATTAGGTAACTTCCAAAGGCTTAAGACTTTAAATTTTCTTATTCATGGTGGCTTTCACCCTTTGCAAGGTGTTTAATGCAACAAAAAAATATAAATGTTTGCTTCAAAGAATCTTTTGTCTATATCTTTATGATTTAAAAGTGCTATGAAAGAAACTAAAAGTTTAAGAGTTTTTTTCCCTATGTGCAGAGGCATAATATGGTGTGCAGATCGAACTTCCTCCTTAGAAATGCATTCGATTTTCAAGAAAATACAGGTTCAAAAGGTATCATGTATGTTGGTAGTCTTGGAAGGAAATATGTTTTTATTTTTAAGCTAGTTAAATGAAAGACATACAAGCTTATTATAACATCCTACTTTGAGTTTGTTATACTTATAGTGTTGTAATTTTAAAAAAATTCCCAATTGTGGCTATAATTAACAAATAAACAGGCCCGACCCAATACATGGGCGAGTTGGGCTTAGGCCCAGGGCATCAAATATAAGGTGGCATAATATTTATCCAACAATTTATACTATATATATATATATATATATATATATATATATATATATATATATATATATATATATATATATATATATATATATATATATATATATATATATATATTGGAACTTTGGCCCAAAAGTTAAGTCCAGTGGCAGCAGTCCAAAAAGAAACGCAGGAGTTTGAAGGCGGAAGCGGGAAGCAACTTCGTGAGCACTAATATCTTGACTCTTGAGAACTTCAAACATCAAATTTGTAACGGGAACCCTTGAAAATCGTGGAGATCGAGGCTCTTAATCGTTGAAGTATTCTTCTTGTGGTTCGATTTCTATTCCTCATTCTTCGTTTCTTAGGCCAAATGGTATACCTATAACGACGAAGTTGGTGGTCGAGCTGTCCACGAACAACGGACGTGCACACCACCCTGTTGTTTCGTGGTGGCTCGTTTTTGTGGTCACTCATGTTCGGGACAACGGACTCGCACGACCAATCCAATTGCAGCTTACGATTTGAACGTTACACTAGCCATTGAACGGCAAGTTTCTTAAAAAAAATTAAACAATTTATTTACATATAAATACAATATTTTTACTCTTTATTTTTTACACCATTCTTCTCTATCTCTATACACAATCTACATACTAAATATTCACAACCAAAAACCATGGATCCCAACCAAAATACCCCTCCAAATTAAAGAAATCGCAAACCCGTTAACGTTTTTGCATTAGATACAACACCTCGCCAATTCCCGACTATAGAGTCACCTCAAGACGGTTTTCTCAATCTACTTCAAACCGGTTCCCCTATCCAACAAACATCACTTTTCCAACAACAATATCAACCTTTTCCGTATTTCCAACATCAACAAATTTCACAACAATACCAACAATTTCAACAACTACAGCAACTCCAACAATAATCATCACAACAACAACAACCTCCAATTTCACAACCACTAAGCTCAGAACCACCACTTTTGCCAGATTTTGTTGCGGAAACGCAACCTTTACCACCACCTCAACCAAAAAAGAAAAAGGAAAAAAACCGGACCGACCCACTACCGGCCTACCGCCCAAGAAAGGGTTCTATGGATGAAAGAAGAAGAAGAAATGTTAGCGGAGGCATGGTTGGCGGCTTCCGAATATCCAATGTAGGAGATAGCCAGCCTTATGGATGTTTTTGGGAGAAACTTCGAGCCATTTTCTACGATGTGACATCCCCAAAATCACGGCCAGAAAAGACTGATTTCATTTATGCTTTTTAAAATAATTTCAGAGTAAATCCTTTTGATTTAAAAGTGTTGCGGAATTTGTTCCCAAAACAAAACATGATAAAATAATATTTATCAAAGCATTTCATCAAGAGATGCATTTTCATTATATAATCAAAACTCGGGGTGTCATGTTCCGATACATACCATAAAGCATAAACGATAACATTACAAGTCATTCAACAAATATATACATATACAGACTTGTAAACAAAACAATTCGATGATTCATCCATCTTACGCCCTTGCGCTACTTCCTGTAATACAAATAAAACTGAGTGGGTCAGGCTTGGGAGCCTGATGAGCATATAGGGTTTTCAACCCACAATAAATAAATTATATTTAATTTCACCAACCAATCACTATCCCGATTACCCATTCCCGTTATCCTCACTTTACGTCCCTAAAACAACATCTATCTCAAGGGACCTAATCTAGGATTTTCATCGGGACGGACATTACTGCTAAGGGGTTTCCTCAACAATAGATATCCTAAAGGCAACCATGAGGGGGATAGAGTACACCGGTGAACACATCGTTCACAACACCTACATGTTATGAACCTGCTAACGTTCCACAAGACTGTCTAGAAGGATTCTGTGGTCGTTATCCATACTCCGCTGAATAACTAGGTCAACAACAACAACATCGAGGCCTCTCATCTGTTTATTACACACCAACTATCTATCCATGTTCTACCCAACATATTAGTAGATAAAAATATATATTTTTATACATAGTTTAAAACCTGTATAGGATTTTCATTCAATACATATTCCACATAACAGATGAGGCACACCCACATAACACGTATTTCATAGAAAATAAATCAGATCTATGAGATAGAAGAGAGTGAATATACATTCACACATATAACAACAAAATTATACACATAACACGTATTTCGTATAAAATACTTCGTAATTATGCGTTAGAAGAAAGTAACTACACACTCACATAATGAGAAGATGATCGGACAGCACTACGGCTTGTAGAAGTAGTAATCCTCAGCTGATCTGGAAGACCTCCACAAAAATCGAACTTCTCGGGATCTTCGGGGCTTCGAAACTTGCTTCGGGGCTCGGGAATATTAACGGGTCTTCGGGGTACTTCTGGCATGCAAATCGAGGTAAAACGGGAGAGAGAAGAGAGAAAAAGAGCAATTGATCCGGCTGCCCTCGCATCCTATTTATAGGAGGCTGGAGCCTCGCCGTATGTTGGGCGTACGCCAGTACACGTGGCGTACGCGTCCGAAATCGTCATGGCGTTCGTCATCCGAAGAACTCGAGTGTGAGGGACGTCACGCTTCGCTGTACGCTGGGCGTACCTTGGATAAGCTCGGTGACTCCCCTTCGGATAAGGCCGAATTTTATAATTAAATTTAAATATTAATTATTTAGTAAATTTTTGAAAATTTATTTCTTCTTCATACGAACTCCGTTTTCGATGTTCTTTATATCCACACGTAGGTGAGACTATGCCTACAAGTTTCGTTTAGACTCCGTCCACTAATTTTGACTTTATTTTCATTAATTATTTTTAATAGGCCGGGACAGAAAAATATCGTTATAAATTCATAACTTCTTCCTCCGACGTCCGTTCTCGCCTAACTTTTCATCGCTTTGATACTAACAACGAGATCTTCGATTCTCGTTTAGATTCCTTCGGCTAAAAACCGCTCGATCTCAAATCGAGTATTTCGGGCTGCATACCGCTAAGTCGAAACTTCAATAAATCATAACTTCCTCATACGAAGTCAGATATTCGCGTTCTTTTTATGCACTCTCTCAATTTAATGAACTCTACGACTTTCGTTTAGATCAATAAGGCAAAATATCGCTCTAACGTAAATTTCACTTTTTACGTCATTCAGCGTTGCCGGTTCTGTCGTGAAACTTCGACAGGTCATAACTTCTTCGTTATAACTCGGATTTCGGCATTCTTTATATCTTCGGAAACCTCGTTTCAACTACTACAACATTATCCAAAGATATCAAGTTTATTTTACACTTGAAGTTTGACACTTATTTTTATTCTTAATTAATCAAACCACATAATTAA